GCGGCCGCTCAGTTATGGCATAAGAGGCTGGGGCATCCTTCTCGGCATTGGATGTCTAGTTTGCATTTTTCAAATTTAAACTTGTCTCCATGTTCTATTTCTTTTTGTGAAGCATGTACTTTGGCTAAACAGACTCGAGTTCCTTTCCTTCTAGTTTGAATAAATCTAAAGACCCTTTTAACTTAACCCACTATGATATATTGGGTGGATGCTCCACTCCATCCCACTCAGGAGCACATTGTTTCATGACTATTGTAGACGATTGTTCACAATGCACATGGGTTTACTTGGTGAGGTTCAAATCCGATACTTACCATTTTCTAAATTTTTTTGCAAATGGTACAAACCCAATTCAATTGTCGTGTTTAACAGATTCGAGCCGACAATGGAGCTAAGTTCTTGTCTCACACCATGTAAACCCTCAGGAACGTGGGATCCTCCACTAGTGAACATGCATACATACACCCCAACAGAATGGCATTGTTGAGCGCAAACACCGTCACTGACTTGAAGTGGCACGTGCTTTGCGCTTTCAAGCCCATCTTCTCATTAAATTTTGGGGTGAATGTATTTTAACTGCAGCATACTTGATAAACAAAATTCCTACACCCATATTGTCTGGCAAATCTCCACATGAACTATTGTTTAGAACTCAGCCATCGTATGAACACTTACATGTTTTTGGATGCCTCTGTTATGCTCATAATAGTGATATTCATAAACACAAATTTGATTCTAGGTCTAAGCAATGTATTTTTGTTGGATATCCTCATGGTCAAAAAGGCTACTGTGTCTTGACTTGCAAAAGGAGACCATTTTCACTAGTCGAGATGTGATCTTTCGTGAAGATGTGTTCCCTTTTCAAGACAAAAGTATGGAACCTAAGACCATTCACACGGTTCTTCCCATACCTATTGTGGACAATGACATTTTTGAAGTTCCATCTTTAAACCTACCTACTCCTGATATTGAGGTGCCACCTTCTCATGAGTCACCTACCCTAGTTCCATCCCTGCCAGCCGAAACCCTGATACCTGCTACACCCATTCTCGCTCTTACCACCGTGCATCGTTCGGAACGTGTCAGTCGGCGTCCCACTCATCTTAATGATTACCTGTGTTCCCAAGCTCACACACACTCATCTCTCATCAAGCACTATTTCTTCTAGTGAACCTCCATCAAGCACTATTTCTTCTAGTAAACCCTATTCCATTTCCCATTTTATTTCGGATACCAAATTTTCTTCATCTCACTGTGTTTTTTTGACAAAGCTTTGTTCTAATAATGAACCACGGACATATGCACAAGCTGTCAAACACTCTCACTGGCGTCTTAAGAATCTTGATCTCAACAACACTTGGATTGTTCAACTCTTGCCACTCGAGAAACACCCCATTGGTTGTAAAGGGGTGTACAAGGCAGACGGCACTATCGATCGCTACAAAGCACGTCTTGTTGTGAAGGGCTATACCCAAATGGAAGGGTTGGACATCATGAGACATTCGCTCCAGTAGCAAAGTTAGTTACTATGAGATGTCTTTTAGCCATAGCTGCTGCAAAGGGTTGGAAATTACATCAATTAGATGTCAATAATGCATTTTTGCATGGGGAGTTGCATGAGGAAGTATACATGGAACTTCCACCAGGTCGTCCTCGTAAGGGGGAGCATTTAGTTTGCTGATTGCAGAAGTCTCTATATGGTCTTAAATAGGTCTCCCGAAATTGGTTTGACAAATTTTCCCAAGCTGTCCGTGATGCTAGATTCAAACAGTCCATTACGTACTATTCTCTGTTCACATCCAATGTCGATCACTCTTTTACAGCTGTTCTAGTTTATGTTGATGATGTGATTGTCACTGGCAATGATGCGAATGCTATTTCCTCATTGAAAGCATTTTTGCAATCTCAGTTTCATCTCAAAGATCTTGGATTGCTAAAGTACTTTCTTGGCATCGAGGTCGCACGATCCACTCGAGGGATCCTTCTTACTCAAAGGAAATACACCTTGGACATTTTATCTGAAATTGGCTTCCTTGGTTGCAAGCCAGTATCCTTCCCCATGGAGAAACATCACAAACTTAATAATGATATAGGTCAATTCTTAACAGATCCAAGACAATATCGTCGTTTGGTGGGATGACTCATATACTTTACTATCATACGGCCCGACATTACTTATGTTGTGCACATCTTGAGCCAGTTCATGCACAAACCACGGATATCTCATCTTGAAGTAGCTCATCGTGTTTTACATTATTTAAAACACACACCCGCATAAGGAATTTTACTTTTCTCCACCAACAACCTGCAACTATCTGCGTTTTGTGATTCCGATTGGGCAAGTTCTCCATTGATCCGACGTTCCACCACTGGATATATAACTTTTCTTGGTAACGGTCCTATATCGTGGCGCACTAAGAAGCAAAAGACCAAATCTTGTTCTTCTGCAGAAGCAAAATATCGCTCCATGGCTACCACTTCTTGTGAGCTTACTTGGCTCAAGTATCTTCTTCTTGACCTGGGCATACGACACTCACAACCCATGCTCCTCTATTGTGACAACCAAGCAGCACTATACATTACAGCAAATCCCGTATTTCATGAAAGAACGAAACATATCGAGTTGAACTGCCACCTTGTTCGAGGGAAAACTCAAAATGGCCTTCTAAAAACAACTTATCTCTCCACTAAAAATCAACTTGCTGATATTTTCACCAAGGCTCTTGGACGGGATCAATTTCATTCTTTAATGCGCAAGCTAGGTGTCTCGTTCCTCCACAATCCAGCTTGAGGGGGAGTATTGATGATTGTATGGCTCACTTTCCTAATTGTGGAGATTTACTTGGACTTTCCTAGTTTGTAGAGATTGATGAACTCTCATAGTTTTTGTAGAGATTGATTTAGCCATATCTACTTTCCTAGTTGGTAGACATTTACTTGCCCATATTTGTAACTTTCTAGTTGTAGATATTTATTATTCATCATCCCCACAATCAATGGATATTGCTGTATATTTTTATACCAGCTGTATATTGTTATATATAGTCCAATATCAATAGAGAAAGACACCAAATTCTCACATCTCTTTTCCATTTACGAATTTTAAAATTCGTAAAATGTTTTCCTTTCTATAGCATTGATATATAACAAAAATTTTAAGATTTTAAATTATGAATATTCTTTATTTTAAGATTTTAAATTATGGATATTCTTTATTTTAAGATTTTAAATTAGGAATATTCTTTATTTAAAAATAATTTATTATAATTTTAAAACAAGAGATTAGGAATTTTAGGAAAGGTATATTATGGGAGTCACTTTCCCTAAACGTTTGTGACAGGATTCAAGAGGTTGGAGTTAGAGATAAACTTATTAAATGTACATAGCAGTAGAGATTGAGAATGGAATATGAGCTACTACATCTAGGAATTTTAAACCTACCCATTCTTTTATGATATTATATGGGAAGTAGAAGATAACAGGAGTAAGAGTGGAGTTTTATAGATAAGTAGGGGCCACATTGCTTTTATGTCCATTGGTCATACTTGATCTACCAATATTTTTGTTTGTAAGCATTACAAAACGTCTATAGGTGAAGTTCTAGTACTTCACCTATACCTCGTCACCGTCCAAAGTTTATTACACTGTCAAAGTTGTTTGGTAGTATATGAATTTTTATAATTATTGTACTAATCAGACTTATCTAAAATTTGGGGCGTGTGTACATATGACCAAGTCGCACCGATATAAAATATATAAAAAATAATAGACAAAATAAAATGATGAAATCACCTATGAAACTTTGTGGGGGTATTTTGTATAATTTTATCATTCAAATTATTTTTTTATATTTTATTCATGTGCATCTCACTAAGGTGCACACACCTACAAAATTTCAGATCATTATGATTTGTAAAAAAAAATATTAAAATTCAAACAACACACCTACAAAATTTCAGATCATTATGATTTGTAAAAAAAAATATTAAAATTCAAACACTATCAGACATCTGTGACTGTGTGATAAACTTTAAACAGTGATAAAGCCATAGGTGAAGTACTGTAGAACTTCACCTATAAACGTTTTGTAGTGTTTTCCTTTTTGTTTAGTGCGCTTGATACATACATTTCTTGCCATCACAATTTGACCACATTATGCTTAATGGAAGAACTAGCTAATTGCATGTGCATTACACGACCCTTTGAAAACGATTGGATAATTTCAACTATTCTTAAGAAACATCCTATTTATAACATCTACTATATGATAAAATTTTGGAAATTATAAATTATGAATATTCGTTTTTTTTAATAAGTTTTTACAATTACGAATATTCTTTGCTTTTAAAAAAAATGCCAATTTAAGATAAGAGCACTGAAATTTTACGAAAGGAGTACAATATTTTTGTTTATTTTTATGTCATGATAAAATAATTTGGACTTTTGACTATTCCTAAAGACTTTTCCTATTTATAACATTCATTTTAACAAAAAAAATTATGGTTCTAAACTATGAATATTCTTAGTTCAACAAATGATTAATGCCAATTCAAACTTAAGAGACTAGAAGTTTTTTTGGAAAGAAATGAGATGAGAATCCTACTTTCCCTACGTTTATGAAAGAGAATTTAGGAGGTTGGATCTAGAGATCGAGATAAACATATCAAATGTGCATCGAGATATAGATTGAGAATGGTCTCAAAGAGAAATGACCAATTCCAGGAGAAGCGTATCCTCAGGACACGCTTCTCCAGGTACCCAAACGGGCCCTTAAGTGAGATTACAAAAAAAGGAGTCGTAGAGAAGAATTTCATGGATCAGTAGGGGTCACGTTGCCTTTATGCTAGTGCTTGGTCATGGCTCTAATCTGCTACTGGTATTTTTTATTAGCACCGTTTGTGCATCTATTTCATTGCATGACAATGTGACTCATTATGCTTAGAGAATAATGTTATATGTGCATTTATTGCCTAACTGTTGCTCTTTTATACACTCTTCAGGTTTGATGCCCATGTTTTGGATCCTCTTGCTGGTCTACAGTTTACAACAAGCACATACTACATGCTTGCTTCAAGCATTCAGCAACTAGCGAGAGATCTTTGTGGGGGAAGGTGTGTATTTTTCCTTGAGGGTGGATATAATCTCCAATCTCTCTCCTACTCTGTTGCTGATACATTTCTTGCCTTCTTGGGTGAACCAAGCATATCTTCGAATTTCGATGACCCTGCCATTCTATACGAAGAGCCATTGGTCAGGGTCAGAGAAGCAATTCAACGGGTCAAGCATATGCACTCCCTTTAGAACCTGTTCATTTTTAAAGGAGAGTATAGTATGACAATTATATCCTCTGTGTATACTACAAAAGAGATTGTAATATCTGGTCCTTCGACTGAGTTCAACAAGGAGATCATCTTCTATGTGTCATATTGAAATACATTTTGCACTTCCTCATGCAAAGACCTCAAGAGGTTTTCTATTTTTTATCTAAACTTTTGGCATCTACTTTAGAATCAGAAGTATTTTTGAAATATAACAAATAATGATTTGTAGTTCTTAAATCCAAAAATTGGATGGTGTATGTTCATCCTTGTGATGTTACATTGATATGGCAGAAAATATCAAAATTTTCCTTTTTGCTTTTTCTCGGTGGTGTTTTTTTTGGGCGAGTTTTTTTCGGTGGTTGCAGGTTAAATAGGTTACATCTCCAAATATTGGCAGACTCAAACATCGTCCCAGCTCTTGGGTAAATAAGTTACATCTCCAAATATTGGCAGGCTTCAAACATCGTCCCAGCGAGGGTTTTACCCAAGAGCGTAAATGAGTACATAGTCTTCAGTTCGTGTTGGCTTGGTGAAGTCTCTGTGAATAGTTATATACATAGTTTTCAGATCGGCCGAGTCAACTCGGCCTCAGCTGAGTTCCTCAACCTCGCCCTACTGCTGAGGCCGATAAGCCTCAAGTCACTTGTACAAGTACATTTCTAGCCATGAATGCACAGGACTCGTTGTAAAAATGGAAGAATCGCCTTGAAGACCATGTAACTCGCCTGAAGTTATATCCATTAGCAGATTAAACTCGTTTTTAAGTTATAGAAAGTTTCTTGAGCGGAAAAATTGAAATCTTGGACTGTTTTTTATGGATTTTTGGATCCTCTATGTTTTTTAAAATCAATCTTAGAACAAGAAATTACTATGAAGTTTGTGCTTTATTAGGGTTCTTTGTGTGGCAATAGAAAATCTGCTGATCCTTTATTTTCTTTCTGATTTCTCCACTAAATTGACTGATTATGGGTTCTTTTGCAGTTTAATATTTGCCACTTTATTTGCCACTTATCCAAGTTTATTTGCCACTTATCCAAGTTGGCTCGTCATAAGCCCCTTCACTTTGGTCGAGTCAATGTTTTGAACTTTGGTTATATACGTGAATAAGTATTTGATGGTGTACCTTATGCCAAAAGGTTATTTCACAGATCTAGACTAAAAACACCAATATTTGCCACTTTATTTGCCACTTATTCAAGTTTATTTGCCACTTATCCAAGTTGGCTCGTCATAAGCCCCTTCACTTTGGTCGAGTCAATGTTTTGAACTTTGGTTATATATGTGAATAAGTATTTGATGGTGTACCTTATGCCAAAAGGTTATTTCACAGATCTAGACTAAAAATAATATTTGCCACTTTATTTGCCACTTATCCACAATATTTGCCACTTATCCAAGTTGGCTCATCATAAGAGCATTGTAAATCGTCAAGTGCTAACCAATTAAGCCCGGGCTCTTTTCTTGCACGATTAGTTTTAGTAAAAAGATAATTGCCCAAAAATTTATGTTTCTCTTAAACAAATAGGTTTTAAGAAATTCTCCAATCACCAAATATCATCTTTACCTTAACACACCAAAAGATTATTACGCCTTACCTGACTATGTTTGTGATTACAATTAGAGATATTGGGTAATATCTAAACTTCTAATTTATTTATTATGGATGTTATTGATATGTTAATATTTTAATAGCTAATGGCCCAAATTAGTCATAACCCGATTATAGGATCTTTTCTTATTGTTTCTTTTTAACATTCTTTAATTTTTCCTAGTTATCCCATTTTACTACGTCTTTTTTTTGTTATTATCAACCTTTTATGAAGACACGTTGAGTTCAAATCCCAGATCGAGTCTCGGTTTTGAAACTCCATGGTACAATGTTTGAAAGCGAAGTAAATCCACTTTAAAACACATTCAAAATCATTGACTTTCAAGAGATTATTCTTAATGACAACATGGTCCCTTGCTTATTCGTATACGTGCTTAGCCCTATTTGGATCATCGAGGAAAGTAAAAGAATATAAAGAGTAGAAGTTCGTCCTAAAAATAAATCCTTTTCAACTCAAGAAAACATGCTGACTCCAAAATCTGAAAAACATGGATACCCATGAGTTCCTGGTTATGCATATCTATCTGTGTTATTATTTTGATGATATAATTTTACACAAGGCATTTCCAATGTGGTCACATTGTTTTGTCACTTGGTGACTGGCTGGATTTGAATCCTAGACACTGTCAGTGCTTTTAAACTCTTATGAAAAATAGAAAATGACCAGCCCCTCATTCATTATATATATATATATATATTGAAACTATTAACAATATTTCTTTGAGAGAAAATTGTTTCATGCGAGTTGGGCCGCATTTCTACATATGCGGTCCAGAAAGTGTAAAGCATCCATTTTAAAGATGGATGCAAGTAGGTGTTCCATCTAAAAACAATGGAAACTAATGGTCCAAATGTTTCTTATTAGAATTATTATTTCTAGTTTTTAAAATTTATTTATTTTTTCATATTCATGATCTCTATGTTAGAGATTACATGTCCTTAAATTAAGTTTTAAATCCATCTCAAAAATAAATTTTTTAAGGGGCCAGCATTTCTACGTATGCAGAAAGGTCCTTCTTTGAGACTATGAAGAGGTACAGGCACTCGACCTAAAGAACCAAGGAGAAAAACCAAAATAAACAAAAAGAAAAAGTTACGTCGTCGTAGCCTTATCAAGCTCATCTGCCAAGGAATTATATTCTCTATTAACCACCTGGAAGAGCGCATTTATCCACGTCAAGTGACAACGAATATCATCAAATGTTGTAATCCATCTCCTCGGAGTCCACTTAGGTTCCAAGGACCATTTAATGATATTGGAGGAATCTCCCTCAATGATAAGATGAATCACCTGAGTATCCACTTTGAGCCCACATAATTTGAGGCCTAAGAGCTCAGCCTTAATAGCCTGACATGGTGGCAGTATCCGATTGGTCATCCATAATAATGAGGCCCTCAAGCCATTGTTTCTCACACTCCCATCAAAATTCAATTTAAGATATGGGGAAGGAGGCGGCATCTTTTGTAATCTTTTGTTTTTTCGAAAACAACAATTGGCCAAAATTAGCTCAAAAGTCCTCCCTTGGAACCACTTTGAAGAGTTCAATTGCCTTAACCCACTGAGCAATCCCTCTAAGTACATGAGTATAATGACGTCCCATGGTCTCCTTTTTGAGCTTTATAACCTTTAAATGTCTAGAGAGTTTGTGAATATGGTATTTTATAGTAAAATATAAACTTCAATGGGAGTATGTATGTTGACTGACCAAAGGTTGGGCTGTTTATGACCCTAGTCATATCCAAAATCCTTACCCGTAGGCATATGGCACTATCGAGAAGGCCTTCAGTGGGTCATCCCTTGTTGAGATCGAAAAGATGCCAATGGATGATGTTGGTTGACTAGGAGAACTGTGTAGTTTCTTATGTATTGATGTAGGCTTGTAAGAACAATAGCCAAAAGCCTCAACAACCTTCCACACGGAATGCATACATGACAACTGCATTACTGGGAAGTAGCCCTATGGAGGGACACATGTACATGTGCATAGAAGGAGCTCTCTTTGCACTGTGGTCACAAATGCTAAACTTTCACTTACAGAGAGAACTAAAATCTACATTCCATGACTATGGTCACACTACTTATTGTTTAACTTTGACAAGCCAATCATGAACCCTTGCTTTCAGACTATGGCTTATGGGTCTTTGTTGGATAGGATAAAAAAACAGTAGTGGATGATGGTTCTTAAGGCAAGTGGAGTGCCCTTATTGTTGCTATTTTCTAGCCATTTGTACCAATTCATTCCTAGTATATTTTATTTTAGTATTAAAAATATTATTTATAATTTTTTAATACTTTTTAAAATTTTAAAATATATTTATATTGAAAAATACATTAAAGGGTATTTTTGAAATTTTTAGAGTTTAGATGACACATGTGGGACCAAGTATCTAGCCCCACATGTGCCTGCACATATTTTTGGTGGGCCCCCACGTGAACCCCCTTAGGGGGACACACTCGTTTATATTTTTTTAACACAATGTGGAATGCCATATTTTTAGCGAAAAGGGTGCCAACCCCACTATTTTAATTTGTTCAAATTTTAAATTGGTTCCTCACTGAAAGTATGGCAATTAATAGAGCAAAATGGTAGATCAAGATTCGTGTAGCCAACCCCAATTAATTGAAAAAAAGCTATGATGATGATGATGAAATTTTAAATTGGTTAAAGATAGCAAATCTTTTAATTCTGAATGAGATTTAGTTGCTTGATCTAGATAATAATCAGATTAGTTATATTTTAAATTTAACTAGGAATTGGATATGGGTCAAATTTTAAGAGGATAAAATTCTTATTTTCTGTCCAAAATCATGATGGTTGATTTGTGGGATGGATGAATCTAATTTATTATCTCTCACTACACAGGTATTTTAATTATCATAAAGGTTTAGTTAGAAATAAAGATAAGACATCCTCAAAGAAATCATATTCAAGTTGGGAGATTTATTCCTTCTATTTAAAGACATGTTTTGAACCTCCTTCATTTCATGACAAGATCTTTCTCTCCTATGCAAAGATTTCTCTCTCTATCTCTCATGCCCTAGACAAGAGGTTATCTCTCTTTCTCATGCCTTTTTTTTCTCTCTTTATTTCATTCCTTCCACTTAGAAAAGGACGCCCTTCTTCTTCCCACACTAACCTCCTATGTCTCCCATATTTTTTTTCACCTCAACCTTTATTTCTTCCCAAAATTTGGCACACCACCTTCTCTCTCTCTCATTGTATAGGTGACGCACAATTTGAAAGAAAAATAAGGAGGTGGTGTGTGAAACCCTAGGTTGGCACCTTGTATTTTGAAGACAAGAAGGGGGACAATAAGCTTAGAGAGAGATCAACTTATATGTTCAAACCTAGTTTGTTCCCATATGATTTCTACAAACTCTAGTTGAATTTTTTAGCTCTCTAAAAACTAGAAAAAGAGGTATTGCCTGAAAAGCTTCCCTTTCAGAATTTCAGCAACACCTTAAGGATTTAAAGTACGTCATCGGGTAGGGAATCGGGTGTGGGATATACCAAGACCTATGAGGGATAACTGTAGATATCTTCTAGTAAGTCCGCCCAGTTCATTTAATTAATTTTTAGTAATATTCTTTATTTTTATGTTAATTTTCAGGAACATATATTATACTAAAAATTATAATGAAAGTTTGTTTAGCTCTTGGATAGTTTATACTTTTTTTGGGCAATAAAAATAAAGATCTTAAGTTGTATCT